AGTGAGCATGTGAGTTTAGGTAACGTACGACATCAACGAAGCTTCCGTATCCTCTGACGTCACCTGGAAATTCTACACACTCTCTTTCTCTTCTCCCGCTCTATAGTTCAAAAATTTGCGGCAACCCTGGTGTAAGAGAGTAAGTGCAGATATCGGGCAGAAAGCGAAAGAGATAATTTGCATTCAAATGCCTTGAATACCAATATAAAGCGAGTAATTTATTAGTTCTATGCAATAAGTAAACGAGTGGTTACATAATAAACATTTGATGATAAAAAAATATGGGCAACGGTAGTAAAACAGTTTTACCTTCGGACTTATTAGAGACTAAAATCTGGCAGCGCCATCTATTAGATAAAAGAGGCGTTTAAATTCTTGCTCATCTCGAACGTAAAATTGCGATACCTGTGTTTGGAAAAATAGGTTGACGAAAAGACTAAGTACGCGACGATACTCCTCTAAAGAATTTTCAGGGCCCATGAAATGAACAAAACGATTTGTGAATTTTGTTTTTTCTTTATTAGATCATACAGATACATTTAAGCAATATTTATTCAAGTTCTGCTCTTGCACGAAATGTGTTATGCGCTTTCCGGTGCTAAAATATGACGCGACTTTAAGTGATCGGATTTTTAATCAGTGTCTTATTGTTATTCGTGGAATGCGGCCTCGTTAGGTTTCTTAGGAAAGTGCTTAATTTTCCTCCCAATTTTTGTTTTGAAGATTGAAATTCCTTTGTAACGAGGATTTCAGAAGAAATGGATGAAAGAGCTTTTTTTACCCGTTTTTGTATTATAACATCATGTATCTCTATATTTTTTTCCTGTCCATTTCCAATATCATTTTACGTTTACAAAACTTCTTAAAAGTGTCTTCCTTGTGAAACAAATATTTTGATGTTCACTCAAACACAAGGCTTAAATTCCACAGGAGTCCGCCGGGAAATCCTGTGAGGTACATCATAGGATTTTAAGTGAAGTGGTAATTTCATCCACAGCCGCAAATAAGATGAGATCTTATACGAATTTTACCGATTTGTCATCAATTTAACGTACTTTAATATTTTTATTTTCCTCTTAATATCTGAATTAATTTTAATTATCATTTAAAAATAGTTTTATCTATTTATTTATTTATGTTCAACTTTTCTGATAGCTTTTCATAGAATTGCGGCACTTCCAGTTTTGAAAATTGAGCTCTACATATAGACTAAGAGTGAGAAAAACTGCTCTGGAAAGAAATTTTTCATATTAGCTATTTGAACAAAATGTAATTATTGATTAAATTAATGACAAGTTTTACGCATAGAGTACGCTTGTAAGTTCTTATGCTGGAGATTTGAGTTGCAAGCATAATTATTCATTCGGCGATATTTTAAAATTGATCTCTTCAGATTTTCGAACGGTACTTCGACAATTTTTATGAGCTTCATTGTGTTAATGCGCATGTCTGGTTGTCTGTCATTTATAAATAAAGGAGTAATTTTTGTGTTTAACTCCAAGAAATTGATAAAATTTCATTGTAATAGCAGGAAAGGCCTATAAATTATAATCCTTTAATTTCCATGCTTGCCGCCAGCATTTGAATGCGTTTTCTTTCACCAGAATTTATTCTTTAAACTAGACCCAGCGAGGTTAACTCCTCCGAAAATATACATATTATTATTGAATGGGGGGAGAAAACTTATAATACGTTTATCTTCCCCCTCCCCCCAAAAAAACTCGCGTTTTCCAAGCCATGCTACCTAGGTAGAGCTAGTGCCGACTTTAAGATTAAGTTAATTGATAAAGCAAAAGGGGTGTCTGGTCAAGGAGAAGATTTTTTAAGAACTGGATTGCATTCACGGTAAGATGTGATTATAATCCGGAAAAATCCTGGGCAGTCAGCCTGTTCCCCAGTCGTCGCTAAGCACTAAAAGTCATTAAAATGTTAAAAGTGTAAAATTTAGGCATGTGGTATTTAGATAATTTAAGATGACAGTAGCCACCTGATGGGGTGTCTGATTAATTACGAACGAAAGATTAGCTTTTGGAGGTCACCTTCGTAAAAGAAACATGAATAACGATGTTAAAAAACCGGCAAAACGAAATAAAAAGCTTGAACATCATTGAGTGTGTCAGGCAGCCGTGATTATAGCAACCATTCACGGCCAAGGACAAAGCTCAATCCAGGTGTGGGCGACTTTTTAAACAAGTCATATTTTCTTTTTTCACTCAACGTGTTGTCGCAGTCCCAAACAACTACGCAGGTGCAAAAGGGCCTTTCGCGGCGAAGAGCGCGTGTTTTACATGGCACGCATCTTACATGCTTCTGCATAAATACGTTGATTTCATGCTCATTTTCTTTTTTCGTGCATCGACGAAGGGTGGAGATGAGCATTTATTTATATTTTTTTCCCCTCTCATAAAATTACTAAGTTACTAGGACATCTCGATGAAAGCAAATTATTATTTTGTTTTTCTTTCAATGATGCAATTACAGATATAGCAGGTGGAATCAAAGCATTACACCTTGCGGAAGGTTTATTAAAATTGGTGTTTCTCCCCCCTCTCCTAGTTTTGATTTTAACGCGTGCGTTCTCTTTCACTAGGGGTGAAGGTCATATTGTTGTTTTCAGTGGGGAAAATTTGAAATTATTACATAACTTACTTTTTGAAGAATTGAGCAGTTATATACTTTTTAGATTTATAAAATTATTGTTTAAGCGAATTATCATGCTTTAGACAAAGGATGTAATTATTGTAAATAATTTAATAATTGCATTAATTGTGTTACAGAAGGGGAGATTACATGCAATTTTGACAAAATAATATTTGCTTTCAAGAGAACTAGGGAAAAAAGTAAGAGAAGGGAATAAAAATTATTCCTGTAATTATCATAAAGTGCCAGAGACGACATGTTAAGAATTCGCTGTTCTTTGTTCTTGGGGAAAACCACGAAAACGCTAATGCAGCCAGCCCGTTCGCGGGATTCGAATCTCGGACCGAACTACCAGTGTTCAGCGACTTTACCGCTCGGCCGCTGGTGGGCTGTTCTTCCTGAACTGGTCCGTATAATACTAAAAGATTAGGTTATTAATTAAGGCGGAGCATATTAGGGCTATCTGCCTGAAGAAAGAAAAGTCCGACTTCCTGTGGTAAAACTGACTCGTATTCACGTTACACATGGAAAAAACCACGAAATCACCCATACAACCAGTCCGTTCGCTGGGATTTGAACCCGAGTCACACTACCAGTGTTCAGCTGTCTTATAGAGCGGATAATAATGAAAAGTGTAAAAGCAAAGTGCTCTTCTGTAAAACTGAACATTGCTAAAGAATGAGTATATCTATTTGGTGAGCTTAAGAGATATAGAACCGCAATGTTAATTAAAAAAGAGCATACTATTGATATTTATTACAATATTTTTAAAAGAATATTTGCTTTACTTAGTATTCTGATTACAAATATAAAGGCATTATATTAACATAAACTGATTGCATTTATCTCATCAGGTCCGTTGAAGAGCCCCCCCCCCAAAAAAAAAAAAAACGCGGACCTTGGCTTAAATTTTTCGACCCCTGCCCTCTAAGCGGTGCGGATATGTTTCGGGTTTCATATACTTTGATAATTAAGGCAAAACAGACAAGGGCTGTGCCTAATTTAGCGTTACCCACGAAAAAAACACCTATACAGCTAACTGTTTTCGAACCACCAGTGTTCAACGATCGTATCCTCTCAGCCACAGATGGACTACAGTTTATATGCATTACCATAGTAATTTAAATGCGTAAAATGTATTCTTATTACGGTACTTTCTGCCACGCTTTAAATTATATTATTGTACTTTCTGCCACGCTTTAAATTATATGTTCAATAACGTTAATAACTTTTCCATTGTAATAACCAGATACTTTTCTCGAATTCTGTAAATATCTGAAGGTTTTTCCCTTGGAAATAATTCTATAAAATTCAGAAAAGTTCCGTAGCGACATTTGTTCATGTATGCAAACGTAGAATTTCTTTCTTTTGTTTTGATTAAGCACTAGAAACAGAAAAACTTATATTATTTTATCTCTGATCCTATAATTCAAAACAAATTTTTATCAATAACGGCGTCATCGCGGATATATAAAATACAGTATCGATAAGGTTGTAAAGCTAGCTTTCGGAGTACATTATCATGTTTTAGATTTGCACCTCATAATTTCCAAATCAAAATTTTTAGCGCAGAATAGAAAAGTATTTGCAGGGAGTCATGTGACTGTGAAACGTCATTTCGTATCGTATCTTAAAAGAATTGTAGTACTGGGTAAATAAAGATATTTTTTTATCACTGATTTGTGGTACTCGCGAAATCAAGCAATGAATGAGATGGAAAGCTAGAATCCTCCCCTCCCAGTAATCTCTTATGCCGCCCCTTCCGCGAGGCGAGTGCTAGGGAGAAAGCAGGTGAATAACTAATAGCTATACTAACGGCAGGTGCTAGTGTATCCTCCAATAACATTTTGACCTCGTGTTGAAATACACTGCTTTCATTCAAGAGATTCTTCCATCGTACACTGTAATGCAATTACGAAATACGATCCGTTTCATTATGGATATTTATTATTATGCGTTTTTTAGCGCTATCGTACAATCTAAACGCTACAGTTTAATGCATTATAGTAAGGATTAGGAAAGATTATGCGTCTCTTAAAGTCATTTAACCGCCATTTTCACTTTTAATTTCTTTATGATGAATTATTCTTTATTTTGTGTTGCTTAGCGAGTTTAAAAGAGATAATATATTTGGATTTTGCGAAAATTCGAAACACTTTTCTATAACCTCTATTTTAATTCAATACTTCATTTTCATTATTATGATCACTTCTCTTTGTTAATCTAAAAAACGAAGTCTTTCATACTAATCCATCACAAAGAGAAAGAAGTGATGTGACTCTACGTGTGTGCAAACTAGTTTCTCGTGATTAGTAATGACTCTTTAATTTAGGTTGATATTTCTGTAATTTCTGTTTTAGACCTTCCCCCGAGAGCGAGATGGACAGAAACATGGCAAAAGCAAAGAATACGAGCAGAAGGTGGCAGAGGCGAAGCTGGAACCACTCCTCCAGTATCACCCAGCAACCCTCCATCTCCTAATGTAAATTCGGAAAGAGGCCGTCCACATTTAACAACTTCTGCACATTCAGATCCTTTGCCAATTCTTCCTAAGGATGAAACTTCCATGGAAGAACCATCATCATCCAGTTCAACTCCGCCTCCAGTGAGACCAGCATACATGGCCGTGCCTGTAATTCAAAGTATAGCCACCCAAGATCGCCCATTAGACTACCATGTTCCAAGAGTTAGACGTCAGATTTCCCAGGAAAGTGAATCTGACGAAATACCATTTCCCCAAAATTCTGTGCATTTAAACCATGAACGAGATCACATCAAAGTGCAGCAATATCATTCGCAATCCAATGTTCAAATTCCCGATTCACAGGAGGACTCTCATCTAGACCCTTACCATTTCGAAATGCGTCCGATGTCTCCAGGTGATAGTGACAGTAACTCATCCAGATCGCCAGACAGTTTAGTGGATGAGAGAGAGAGAGGAGAGAAAATGGCTATGATTCCTTCATTGCCTGTTCGTCTAGCCCTGCTGCAGCAAAGGGTATGTGTATGCTAAGAGTATTTTTTAAAGTAATATTACAGTCTTTGCTGACAAAATTGAAAAAATAACTTGTTCCACTTTGTTAGTGTCGTGGAAATAATTACATACATTGCAAAAACAGTCCGTATCAAATAAAATAAAGCAGCTAATAATTATCCGTATGTTATAAAGCAAGTCTATTTTACATTAAAGTCTTAATTATCACGTTTTATTGAAAGTTAAGATTACAGTGGAATATGGCGCTATGAAATTTCAAAGCCTTTAGTTTAAAATCTACCTTTACTTAGACTGTTGCATCTTAAAGCATATATTAACTGACAGCTGCATACAGTGCTTGAAATTCGATTAAATAATAAATATGTATATAAGATAAATAGTAAGTTGGTTTCAGTAAGGACAGTTGTTTACTGTTATATCCACAGAAGTTTTCTTATAATTTTAATGTACGGACACAACATCTGACAGCTAAATATTTCCAATAACAAAAATGTGCAAAAGCTAAGTTTCTGTCATATTCTTAAAAACGATTTTATTAATTTTAAATTTTTATTTCATAAAAATTAATACATTTTCACAATACAAAAATACTCGGCATATAATTAAAATTGAACAAATTATTTTAACAGCTTGGACTTCCTACCGATGTTCCTTTAGAGTTTGTTAATGGAGGTCATGGTATAAAAAATCCCCTTTTGCAGAGGAGTCACAGACATTCCTCATCTGCCCAAGAGATGGCGCCACTTCCATCGCCTTGCGAGGAAATTCTACCTGCCGGAGAAATAGAAGCGGGAAGGTAAATATCGACTATTACCCAAAATTTTTTTTAAAGAAGAAATTTAAAATTATTTTTATTATAAAATATATGATTGTAACAGATGTATGACCATTGGCTGATTTATGAAATGAGGTGTATACCTCACTTAAAGTTTTTTCATGCTTTCTACTACTATTAATCCAGAAATTGATTTTTTAGAGGGTTGAAATGCGGTGCCCCTCGCTATTGCGAGTTACGCGACAGCATAAATCTCCATATGTGTAAGACTTAATAAACATTTTTGCTCGGGCGATAGATTATAAGATTTAGTTTGCTTATAAAGGTAAAGATACTATCAAAACAGATTTATTAGATTGCGCAAGTGGCTATCGCGTTAGGCCCCAATAATTAAAGAATAGTAAACCTTGTGGTTTAAGATAAACCGCCTGTGGATATGATTTTATTAACAATTATCCAAATACGTAATTATGCTGTTAAACCATGGCATTCTGTCATCATCTATTGATTTTCATTATCGTTGTGTTATTGAACATTAATTTCATCATTTAATAGGTTAAAGTTGCATATTTGCGCCAAAATAGGATATCTTTAGTGCAATATATGAACGATTTTTACATTTTGTCGAAAGCAGAGGTGTTAAAGATTATAATAGATTATAATTCTCATGTCAGTATGAGTACTTCCCTTTGTTCACTTACAAGTTGTGAAAATTAATGTTAAAAATTCACGTAATCCCATTGTTTAAATAATTAGGCAATCACTTTACGTAATAAAAAAGGACGTCATTAAAGTGAGGAAAATTTCATAAAGATGAATAATTATTTATTTTGCAACTAGTAATTATTGCACTTTAATATTATAATATGCTATATGAAACCGAATTGTACCACTTTCCTACCAAAGAAGGAAATAAACTTGGTGTATTTTTTGGTGGTTATATGTTTTCTTGCCTTTTTACTACCCTACTGGGATAGCAGTTAGCGATACCGACTGCTGTGCTGAAGGGCCCATTTTCGAATTGCAGAGAAGGCATGGATGTTTCTAAATTTAAAGTGTCTTTTCGGCAAGGAGCACTCTAAATATGCAGTGAGCCAAACGTCCTCTCGAGAGGTTGGAGACCTTGGACCCCTCCCGGGGTGCTGTCCATCAGAATTGGGGGGGACGACTTAGCAAAGTCACCTGTATGGCCCTCAAGGCTCTTGCCAACAATAGACACAACCTTACTTTCCTTGCTATATTGAATTTAGTGGGCTTGTTCTGATGTTCCCTGTCAGACAAGTGAGATATTTCACAACATAACAACAACATTTGATTAGTAAATCATTCCTTTTTATAAGCATGACTTCTCATGCTATTTCGGGGATTCAAGACAATATGTAAGTGAAACAGGGGATTAGGAATTATAAATACATAGTTTGAAAAGGGCATTAATTTTATACTAACTAGTATTAGTTACTATTAGGAATTATAAACATCAAAAGTTTTATTTTAGCTAGAAATAGTATATAAACTTTGGCAATCCCAAACAGGTGCTGCAACTTGCATAATCTATCCTGTTATATCACAGTTAGAAAAATGTAATGTATATTGTATTTAACTGAGAAAGTCATTATAAAATTCATTGCTGTTTTTAAATCCGCTGTAAATACCAAACAAATACATTTAGATTTAAAATATAAATTAGACATATATAGTAATTTTAAAACTTGTTTGCTTAATGAAGACTATAATTCTTCTTTTATATTTGGTTTGTAAAATACCAGGACATTGCTATAAATTTAGGTGAGACCTCATATTTTTATTTCTTCTTTGACTGGCATTATTAAAAATCTTTGCACAGGTAATCTAATTATGCTAATTTTTTAATTAGCAATGCATCTTTTTAATTTCTTTTTTTAAATCTTTGAACAAGATGTGAAAATTTGCCAAATTAGTTTTCATTCCATTTGTGAGAGCTATTTAATAAATAAATACTTAATATTTCAGTAGTCTGATTATTCATAGAAATTTCAAAACAGCTTTCAACTTTGAGTCACTAAGCAGATGATCAATAATTCTTTAAAAAGAGTCCAGAAAAGTATCTTGGTAGTCAGCTGAAATGTTTATTTGCTTGGCTTTCCTTTTTAAACTTTGAAGTGTAATTTAAATATGTATATAGAAAAAAATATTTTAAATGTTTAATGCTCGAGAATTAATTAATAACCAAGAATTAAATTATATTTTTAAGAAAGTAAATATACTGGGTGTCCCATAAGCTCGTAAATATTTTAAAAATTCATATAGTTTGAAGGAATTGGTAGAACTGAACACAGTTTGTGAACAAATTATTCTCGTAAAGGAGGATTTTTTTTTTTTTTTTTTTTTGAATAAAGAAAAAGAAAATAGTTAAAATTTTTGTCAATAGATGGGAGCAAATCACACATTTCCATAGAAAACTATAATTATTTCCATGCAGGCATACAAACATATCATTCTTATTCTGTGTGTTCATGATCGTAACAAATTGCAGTTTGCAAGCGAGTCAACAACACTGTTAACTGCAGCATGCAACATATCTGAATGGATGCAGGAGATAGCTTGGCAAATGGCATCCTTTAACCGCACTAAAGAGCATGGGCAATTGCAGTTTTTTTCTGGATTTGACATAACCTGAAAGCCAAAAATCAAGTGGTGTTAAGTCTGGGGGAGCAAGGGGGCCACTCATTTTTGCAGTTAAGTGCTGTGTGTATGTAAGGGCTCTGAGTATAGGCACATAAGTTCTACTTTTCCCAGATTCTACTGTTATGGGTCTTGACTGTTCCATGCAGTGAAGAATGAACCTCATTTGTCCACAAGTTAATGAGAAGCCATTGTGGATCATCATCAATTTTCGACAAAATTCAGTTTGCATACCAATATCTCATGCACTAGTTACTGCACTGGTTATTGTTTCTTTAGAGTTCCATTTGCAAAGCCACATTTGGAAGTACACACCTCTGATAAATTTGGCACACCACTACAAGAGCAGTGATACAAATCTGTTTCCTATTTCCTCGAAATATCATACCAGGGAAGTTCGGCAAGAGTGATTAGACCTGAACCTTTCTTCCACCCATTTCTTCCATTCCTGTGACTGAAACCTTTGTAAAACTTCAGACAGTGGTTCTTTGCTGAGGTAAAACAGCTTCACCAATAACACTGTGTCCATCACAATTAAAACTTAATGTATGACCAAGTTGGAGGAAAATCAGCTATGAGCTACTAATAATAAAAAACTGCAATTTATAGGACTCTGATTTGCATATTTCTTGTTACTTCATCTGTGCAGCACCCTTTATCAATGAAAATTTTAACTATATTTTTTTATTTAACCTTAAAAAAAAAAAAAAAAAAAAAAAAAAAAAAAAAAAAAAGATCTGCATCATAAACCACAGTCTGTTTAACCTATTCCTTCAATTTGTATGTATTTTAAAAATATTTACAGGCTTATGGGGGTACCCTATGCTAAACCTTTGCCTTTTGATTGACATATTTTTATTAAGAAAGGCTGCTACATAACTTTTGAAACCACTTTAATTATACAGAAGGTAAGTAAGATTGAAATAAACTCTATAAAAGAATTCGTGATTCTGGAAAGCCACTAACTTGCCACATTACGTTTTTATGTACCTGATAGTAAATTAAACTGTAGCAAAAGGAAACAATTTTAAATTTGTCGTACTCCTCTTTTTAGGCTAAGCTGCAGAGTTTGTGGGAAAACATTTGGATTGCAAAGATTATTGAACAGGCATATGAAATGCCATAGTGATATGAAGCGGTACCTTTGTACGTTTTGTGGCAAGGGATTTAATGATACATTTGACTTAAAGAGACACACCAGGACACACACAGGTAAGTTCTTCATAATTTTTTGATTGTAATATAAAGTTGCTAATAAATAATACCCATTGCCTGTTAAATGTTCAAGGTAAGTGTTTTGCTGTACAAATTTTCAGGAATGCTTTGCTAATTTGATAAGCCACTAAAACATGTGCATTGCTTTCAGAGAGATCTGACATGAGGAATAAAACTTTTGCTAAATGCGGAAGCTAATTCATTCTTTCCAAAATTGGATTTCTTGTGTATTAATACTTCACTTGTCAGTAAATAATAATCTAAAAATAATCTTTTCTTGCTCTTTTAATTTGAGGAAATAACTGATGATTTATTATAGCAATGTATGGGAAAACTATCAGCTTGAAAGATGAAAGGCTTTACAAAAGACTTCCTTAAGATGGATTGGATAGGTTTATTCGTATGAAAAAAGTGTGAAATTTTTTTTTTTTCAAAAACATCTGAGGAAAAAATTATTTACATTCTGTTTTTTAAAAAGTTTCTTTGTAAAAATTTACAGTTGTAGTCAACACGACTCAGTGGTGTAGTTTCTGTTTATATTAATCTGTTATGAAAACTTATGTATTGAACCTAATTAGTATCACATTCAATAGAATTCCACCCTTTTCCGATTATCAAAATTGAAAATGATTAAGAAGTAAAGATAGGAAAAAGCAGCTGAAGGTCCATAGTTGATATTAATTTTATTTCTTTAATTTACATAGCTAATTTGAATGATTTATGTAGACATTTAGTAACTTGAATAAAAATATAAGCTTTGAAGCTTTTTCATATCCCAACCTATTTCTTGATTGACTGTGCATCAGAACAAACTTATTAAAAAAATAATTCTTTTAAAACAAGATGATATTGTTTTGACTAGAAGCTAGATTGGTAGTGATTATTTTAGCTTGTGAATATGATACTTTTACGTGTATGCTTTCTTTCAATATACCTATGGACTTAACTGCTCTACAACCAAGCATTGCTTTTCTAACTGCTTGTAAAATTTTTGTATCAAACAGTATACTTTTACATTAAGCAGAGAACCAACCATTGAAGGATAATTATTGAGATATAAACTTGAGAAATCTGGATTACCATAATTTTTTTTATAAAAATTCTGTAGGTTTTGCCTTTGCTCTAGCTAATAAACAATATAAAACAATCTATCTTAAGACTACAAAATTTTGATTTTAATTAGTGTATCATTTTAAACATTGGAATGATAAAATCACAATATAGATAATTTAAATTAAAATCATCAACACTCCTTTCCTAACCCATAAATGAAAATCAATTAAGTCCTTATGGAGAATTGCTGAATTTGTTGGAACTAAGTATTGATAAAATAAACATAGTATTAAGAAAAGAAACCAACTTGAAGAAAGGACTATGCCGAAGTACTTTCATGCAAATAACATTTTCAAAGAATTCTTTTATTTTTTCCTTAAATATGTGCAGTTTTTAATTTAAAATTTAACTGTTTCTTAATAAATAAGAAAAATACCAGATTTTGTTTATATCATGTTTAATACAGTCAAAAGTCGTTAATCCGGACTCGTCGGGACTTCGGCTATTCTGGATTATCGATTTTTCCGGATTATAGATCATCAGTTTAAATCTGGTAAGATGGCATGCAGAAATTATAAAATTAAAAATATGAAATCGTAATTTATGAAATAAAGAACAATTATGATCTAAAGGATATCAAAATTTACAAAAAAAAACCTTAATATTTATTTGTTTACTTTATTAAACATTTCTTTCAATGTAAGTTGTTTTTCAGTTGCTTCGTTTCATGTGATAATACTTTTCTCTTTAATTCTATAAACAGACATAATTTCTTGTTTAGTTACAAAGTTCCGCTGTTCAAGTTCCTGATATTGCTGTGTCGAGAATCCCGACTAATTGTCAATCGAAATTTTTTCGTTTTCAATAACCTCTGTGTCACTTTCTTCACTATCGGAAGCGAATTATAATGACGAGGAATTTGATTTAAATCATATCAAAGACGGAGTACATCGAGATGAAATACTACATTTAGTAAGGAATTATAAGCCAAATAAAATAAAAACATCTGCCCTGAAGATAAGGATAGTGCTGACAGATCAACTTCCAATTCATTGCGCGCCGCGGCGTTTCCCCCCCCCCCCAGAGCAGCGTGAAATTGATAAACAGATTTCGGAATGGTTAGAGAAACAAAGGATATGCCTTTATCCATTTTTTGCAGCAATTCCACTTTTTTTTAATGGACTTCGAACATACTTTCGCTTTGTAGATCCTTTACATATTAGTAAATATATATCGGAAATTCTATTTGACATAATCGAAAGTTCAAGCTTACTTTTATAAAATTGCTCTAACAGTCTGCAAAAAATAATAAGCCGGATCCAATTAGAAGATTAAGGAACAACGCAATCTGCAACATTAACTGAATTAGATAATTTTAACTTAGCTTATACCGTCCGTTATGCATTAAACGTGTATGCGTAAACGTATTATGCGCATGCGCAGAAAGTTTGTAGCTTTGAGGTCCAGATTATAGATCATTCCATATTATGGGTGTCCGAATTAACGACTTTTGACTGTATATTGTCAATACATCCAAAATTTGTGCAGTTTTCGTGATAGGTTGAAAAAGTAGATACAGAATTCTTTGCAGCAAAAGAATATAAGATTTTGTTTTGTTCATGTGTTCTATTTTTCTATATTGTCAAAATTTTATTATTTTCATCGTTTTAGATGATTATTATTTAGAACTCTTTCTGAATTCTTGGAAATCATGAAAAATGTTTCATGTGAAAAAAACTTTTTTCAGATTATGATGATTCATTTAAGCATAATTTATCTGCCTTGATTTTTATTTTAATATGATTTATTTCAAGTTATTAGTGTGATTGTTATTTATAATTCTTTCTCTTTTGTAGGAGTACGCCCATACAAGTGTAATATGTGTGAAAAGTCATTTACGCAGAGATGTTCTTTAGAGTCCCACACATTAAAAGTTCATGGTATTCAGCATCAATATGCTTATAAAGAACGAAGAGCCAAAGTATATGTTTGTGAAGAATGTGGACATACTACAACCGAGCCTGAAGTACATTATGTTCATTTAAAACAGAACCATCCATACAGTCCAGCTTTGCTTAAATTTTATGACAAACGTCATTTTAAATTTTCTGATGGATCATTCCCACTGGGTTTATTGAGAGTACATTCATAAAATTTGGCAGAGTTGTGTTGTGAAACCATGTAGATTTCATTCAGGACAGACATTATTTTATGCTAGTTGTAATGCTTCAGTTTTCCATGCCTATATAAGAATTTAAGAATACTATGTTTTTAATGATGGAAATTGTTTCATAGCTTAGTGTATTTCTCCTAGTGGCAGTTTCTTTAGGTATATTTTATTTTAATATATTTATTAATGCAGTGAGGTGTTATTTCATATTTTTGAGTTGTGTAATTTTTTTGTATATAAAATTTGAGCTATGAATATGAGGAAGACTAAACCTCCATCATTAGTTGATATTACTAAGATTATAATAATCTAACAAATATTTAATAATATATTGCATGCTCTTTAATGAAGCCTGAAATTATTTATCAGAACAGTTAAAAAAAGTTTTAGAATAGATCTAAAGTAGGTGAAAATGGTTCTGTTTTGTAGGATTGTCTATACTTTATTTAATCAAAAATGAATTGCTAGTGATTATTTATCAAAAGAGCATTTTAAAAATTTCTGTTTAAAAAGCTTTAAACAAATGTAGTTAATTTAAAAATTGATAATATTTATTTTGCATTTTGTTTAATAAATTTTTATAAATATATTTTTAAAAAAATTTTTAAGATTTTATTGTGCTTTTATAATCAAGCATTCTGTTAAAATTACTTTTGTTTGGACAGTCTAGTCGTACTGTAGATCTGTACACTGAAGCTACTGAGCCTTTATAATCAAAATCTTCTGAAACTCCACTGTAGCATTTTAATTGCTGTATTTTTATGTGATGCTTTTTCAGTAATTATGTGCTTACTCTTGATATAGTATGATGGTTATTGAATATGCATATTTATGTATTATTTTTATGTGATACATTACCATTGCTTTTGCTTTCAAAAGAATCAAGTAAAAATTATCACCAACATTTTTTCTAAGCATTCTGAATAATTTGGTTGCATACTTGCATCTTCCATGTAAAAAAGGCACAAATCATTGCTGTTGAATGCATTTTAGCAGCATTTACATCTGGCACTAAATATGTTCCTTTTTTAAAATGCTCAAGTGGTAGGTAGTTTTGTTGCGTTTTTTATGTTCACTGTAAATATTTTGTACAAATGTTGCGATAAGTACAAACTAACGTGCTTTCACTTGTCTGTCTGTATTATGTTATTTAAATGAATTGAAGCTAATGTCTTTCGTATTTGTAATTCATGAATGTTTCTGTATTAGCTGAGAGAATTTGATTATGTTGCAATATCTCATTATGTTTTGCAAGTGTGACATTGCTGGTCTTTTGAATATTTATTTAACATAATTTCTTAAGGTTGTGTTGTTGATAGTTATATTCAAAACTGCAAAGGTTTTTGTCAAAATGAAATTGAGCTTTCTTTGAATATTTATTAGAAAAATAAGTTTCTAAAACAAACTTCGTATTCAAATGACATAAGACTTAAGAGTTTACTGTACAAAGCTTTCATGAATATTTTCAGATGGCCTATTATAGATTAAAAATACTATTATTATTTTCAATTCTGTGAATTTCAGTTGTGCTTGAGAAAGAAGTAAAAACTAAATGAAAAATATATTGTTTCCATTTATTCAGAACAAGATTATGAAAGAGTATAAATTCAACTTTGCTTGAATTAAAATGTTTACTGTTATACAGTATAATTTGTTTGCTGTTAGTGTCTGATTTTGGAGCTTTTTAACTAATCAGCTGTAAAGAATCAAAAGGTGTGGCAGACTGCCTTTCTGTGGGAGCTATGTGGTTAAGGATTGCTCATAAAATGTGTATTCTGTATAGTTTTAGAACAGATTACCATAAGCTTTTGGGGATTTGTATTTATTTGTGGGGATTAAAACTGGATTTATATGAATAGGTATGTAACACTGTAAACTTCACAAAATCAAACTGTGTTAACCTATTCTGGATAGTTGTACAGCTACAACACTGCCCAGTAAAAAGTTTATACTATTTTAAATCTTCCGGATAGTGGTTCACTGAAAATATATAGAAAATTTTATTTATACAAAAAGATTTGTAATACTCAAAGTGCACTTATATTATGGATTTTCAATATTTATAAGATTACTGTGATTATTTTCAGTAATGTCTGTCTATGTTTAGACAATGAATATGATATATATTATTGTAAATGAATTTCTTTTTTGTGTTGAATAAAGTCTATTTTTGATTTCCTATAAATTATATATGAGTACAAATTAAAAAAAAATATGGCAAGTAGAATAAAAACCAAGTGCATAATTTAGATTCAGTGAGAAGTTATTTACTTGTAAATTTGTTGTAACTTGTGATGAACTTGATAAAGAGTGCCTTTCTTTTGATATAAATTAGATTTCTATCTGCCAAATGACAAAATGAAGTTATTTAAATGTAGTAATTTAATTTGATTTAATTCTAGTTTCTTGTAAGAATTGAATTTTAGAAAATTCTGAAGAAAAAGTTATTTTTATATAAATGTTTTATTTTTATGATATGAGTTATTTTTGATATAATAAATTTATGTACACTATACAAGCTTCAAAGAAAAATATATTTTATCCACTGTTTATTACTGATAATCAAAATATGTAATGATATATGTTACCTGGCAAAAATCAAAATTTAAAAGAAATCTGTTATTGAGTAACATGTAGTTAGTTATAAATATTAAAATTAAATATTTTTCTTGTGTAAAATTTTATGTACTTTTTTAATCAAAAGTTATGAAAGCTGTAACTTATTAATTAAATTTTAAATCAAAAGTTTATATTAATGTAATTGTTACTCTGGAGCTTTAATCAAAATATTTGTATACAAATGTATTTTCCAGATGGGGGGAGAAATGTTTCATTCAGTTATAATAAACTTCTAAATGTTGTTTAGAATGTGATTTTGTATTATATAAAGGATTTTGTAAGTATATAATCTTGCATAATGGATTACTGTTTCAAATTTCATTTTATGCATATTGTACAGTAGTTTCATTTTTTGTTAATTTTTAAGGTAAACTGAAATTATTTGATGAAAGGACTTAAATATGTTAACTAACTTCAGACGAGGTTAGTTTAATCTTTGACACATGATAGATTTTTTTTTTTTTTTTAATTTTCTGGCAGTAAATTTTATAACTGACGTGTGTGTAATATCTGGTATCCACTGGACACTTTTTCATTCTTGCAATGTAGTACTTCTGATTTTGAAACTGAACTGCCTTGATTCAGTTGCATTAAAATGGGTTTACCCAATTGTTGTTTATTCTTAATGTGCAATATCCTTCAACTGATCATTTGCATTGATCTTTATTCTAAAATGATTTCAAGAAATTTTGAATTTATGTTATAAAGCATATTTAGAAAACCTATCTTCTCTCCCCTCCTCTGTTTAGTTTAGTATAGAATATTTCAGGATTTGTGGATGAATTTTATTTGTTTAACTCACTTTATAAAGTGATTTTATTATTAGTCTAATACTAATACTTCTATAGACTTTTCTCATCTGCTTGATATTTCGTTTCTATGACACATCTTCCCTCATGATACTAATACTTATTGATGGAATTTTCCATAACATTGTAAAGATATGTAAAGTAACCAGTTGTTATCTCACTGAAATTATACTAGAATTGTCTTAATATGAGAGAATGCTAAAAATAAATATACAGTAGAACAAATGGAGAAAGCATGCAAGGGTTTGTCCCTTCAGTATATGCACAGAAAGTACGCTTCACTTTTTTAAATTTATGAGGCCCCGGCCTAATCTTTAAAGCTGTTCCCATGAGAGAAGTATGTAAAAATGTACAGAGTATACTTTTATGTGATGTAATTGATTAAATGCTTAAAAAATATTAAGAATGGTAAATTTGCATATATTGATGGGTTTTGAAAAAGAAATTAAATTTTGCCATGTCCTTTTGTAACTAATTATTGTTATAGTTAAATTGTTTAACTTTATAAACATTATAATCTTTGGTTCTTAAACTGGGAGGAGTTAATTTCTAAAACTAAACATTTACATTTTACCTTATAACAGTTCAGATTTGGAAACAATTTTTTTTGACTTTATGGCTTGAATTAAAAAAAATATATAACAATAATCATTGTTTTAAAACGAAAAGTGATGTGATATCCTTCGTAGAGAGAACATTGGAGTTATAGCAAAGCATTGAATAAAAATCGAAAAAGTGTTATGTACATTTCATAAATTTCATGAAATCCATTTTCTGTCATGTGAAACATTTCCACAGCTTGGCTGTAGATTGTCAATAAAAATTTTCCTTGCACATTTTTGTGATGTATTAAAAATGTGAATGGGTGTCATTTGGCTGTATTTGTATATAACTGCAGATAAATGAAATAAAATTATTCAAAGTGTATCTGTGCTCATTATTTTGTGCAACAAATGTTCTGATATTGTAATTTTTTTTTGTTATAGTACTCATTATGAAAATTTTAGTGTAAAACGTAAATTCAGAAACTCTTGGTGGTAATTTATCCTCTTCTGGTGTACAAATATAGCAAGTCATTATTAAGTAGTAATGAATTTAACGTAGTTAACGAAACTGATTTTAGTATATGTCTTTCTTTATAGTTTCATCATAACTAGTTTGTATAAGCAGACGAAGAATGCTGTCTTTGTTCCTTTATGTAGAAACACTTCGCTATGCAGCTGTAAAAGTATAGGATATCTCGAAAATATTTTAGCTCTGCTAATTTTTTGCTCTTGATGTTTTAGAGCCTGAAATTTTACTTTTACATCTTAGACATGATTTGTTATTGTTGTTTATTGCTGCACTTTTGGTGTTAAAAGATTGGCGTGTGTATACATTTATATACTATATATGTAAAGTTTGTTAATGAGAATTTAAATCTTTGTATATACGCTTTTAGATAAGAAATTTGAAGTACATAAACTTTTCGGTAGGTATAGCAAAGAAAAGAAAGGGAAATACATTACTGCTTGAAGTAAACAAGTTTATAAGCGAACATAAAGAAAAAAAAATCTGAACTACTTCAGGAAGAATCGTTTCTCCTTCACGATAACGTAAGTTAATATAGTGGCATAATAACCATCTTCTACCCACTATTCATTCATACCATAATCTAGTCCATGAACAGCTGACTTCGCATAATCGTCGACCGAATGTTAGCTCGTGTTATTTTCGCCGTGATTGGTCAGTTCTTATATCAGCTTGGTATAAGAACCGACTTCGTTCAAAAAAGAGCTTTCTAGTCATGAGGCATTGTGACGTAGGACATAAACCCGTTCACATTTGTGTAGAGGATTTTAAGCCATAGTCAGGTCTCCGCAACCTTTTCTCACCTGCGACGCACAAAAAATCTTTCTGGAATTTCGTGGCACACCAAAGAGTTCCGAGTTATCAAGGAAGTGCCGAAAAAATTCAAATGCTGACACATTTACAATCACACACCAACCACACAAAGTGAATATATAAAAACATTAAAAACATTATTAAGGAAAAAAACATTGTGTATTAATACATGATAAAAAATTGCAAAATGTCAAATACATGTATTTGACTGCGGCACACCTATATCCTACTCATGGCACACCGGTTGCGAAGCACTGTATTATATAATAATAAACACATTAATAAATCTCATCCAACAATGCGAACTTAAAATAAATATATTTTCAATTTTTTTGAATAATTCGTAATTTATCCATTATCGTCAAAAGCAATTTGCTTTAAATTTCGAAAATATTTTTGTGTTCATTTTGATGGTAACGCGGGGCCCGATTGAGCCCAATAGCCCTTTATCCGGCCCTGCTAATCGTATGTTTTTAATCATCGCCTTTATTAATCACTTGATTTCATCATTTTTTATAGTATCCCCCAAAGCACACAGCTTGAGATTCAAAACGAATTATTGCCAGACTACAGTCTTGTGCTCTTCCCATTTTGTAACTTCTCTATCATTGCTGAAGACTCAATTATTAGAACCAACTGGGACAAATTTAGTGACATTAAAGCCCTACCTCGACCTATCGCTCTCAGTGATGTTGATGCAGATATCGACAAAACTGTGAATAACTTTCTAAACAATGCCTCTACGAAGACCCAGAGCATCAGAAACTTTATTTTTAACATTCCTGTTCTGGTCTTAAGCGTAAAAACAGTATACTCAAATTCTGGATTGCCACAAGAAGTAAGGCAATAGAACTTATTGCAGAGAAACATTGAAGAAAAATGCCAGGAGTGTAGACAGAAGTCATGTAATGACAGTCATTTCATTGGTTTCCAAAGAAAACTCCTTCTAGAGTTTATCCTAGCGGGGCGTAAAAAATAAGAAAAAACACATTTGCTGTTATAGGGTGCCACTGGCATGAAATACACTCACAAGTGACATGGCAAATGCCCCTGCAGAAAGCTTGGAACTCCAGTTTCTTCTAGTATTCAGTGCCGGCTCAAGGTATCGGCAACACGGACAGTTGCTCGGGGACCATTAAGAACCTCCCTCCCAAAAAAAGTGAAGATAAAAGATGCATTTTTTCCTCCGTTTGACGTTTTTAACACTTTTCTGTTTCATTCCGACTGTCACTCGATTAAGCTTCTGACTGTTCTCAGCGATAGCACTTCTTTTTTCAGACATTGACCTTTTACTTAAAAACATACATATAGATGGCAGCACCAGACCGATGTCGAGATAGAATCTACGTTTGTTTTTTTGTGTTTATATTATATATATATATATATATCTATATAATATATAAGTAATAATCACATCAAAAACAAATATATGCACAGATTATGTGTTTCTCAAACTCTGAAATTCCAGATTTAATTCTGCTTAATATAACATTATTAAAAAGATTTTAATTATATAAGCAATATAATTATAATTTATTATAATCATGAAACATGCTTAATACCATAATACCAACATTTTGAATTAGAATACATGAAACAAAGTTCATACTATTGAAATTTATTAAAAACATTTAATAAGTAGTAAATTGAAATACAGGCTTATAAAAGTTTTGAAAAATATAAATAAAATATTCCTACGTCCAATGCTAACTCTCTTGACCAAACTCTCTCTGCGCGTTTCTTCTCTTGAGCATTCAGAATCGCCAAGTGTCCAGATGAAAGTGATCAACAAGCCACCACCTTTCTATTTATCTTCCATAATAATAAACAAGTTCAAAATGTCCAAAAAAAATACTGAAATGCTTCCGTAACGGCAATACAGCATGGAATTTAAAAACAAAAGTCTCTTTCACCAATCTGAGAGATAATCCATTACAGTTTGGCGCTCAAGGTCTGTTTAGTGAGTGAAAATGGTAACCTAGCTAACTTAGGTTTTCTGAGAATGCGGTTTCTCAGAAATGTTCCTTTCGACTTACAGTCCCGCGTAGCGGAAGCATATGTGATAGGGAATTTAGGTACAAGTCTTGTAAATGTTACGATTTTGCGTTCTAGAATTTCTACTTGCTCAATTGGTCTCTAGTCCTACCATCTTGGGTGGTTACAGTTGA